AGAAAAATCCAAAAAACCCGGAATGTGGGGTATAAATTTGTACATGTTTGCAACCGAGTTTCAGGGGAAAATTTTTGAAATTCCCCCGGGCCCAAACTAAAACCCGCCTCGAGCAAAGAACCCCCCCCGGGTGCTCTCTGGCTGTTTTTTTTTGTGCAAACACTGGGCCTTTGGATGTGTGCCCCCCCAAGGCCGGTGGGGATGGCTGCCCCCCCGGGATCGGAGGCCAAGGCAGACATGGGCTTTACGTCCTGGCTCCGGCTCGCCTGCTACGTGAGCTTGGGCACGTCCCTTGCGGAGCGTGTTCAAACCAGCCCGTGCGGCCCGTGAAGCCTCAGACGTGAGCGGCTGCGCCCCTGTTCACTGTGGTTTAACGCTCCCTGTGGCGGTCACTCAGCCCCGCCCCCGGTCACCCCCGGAGGAGGGGCCGGTTGGGGTCCAGGCTCAGACTCCCCGGTGCGAAGAGTGAGGGAGGAGAAGACTCGCCAGGCACGGTCTTTGGAGCTAGAGAACTTGAGTTCGAATTCCGGCACCAGAACTGACCGGGATGACGGGGTTAGGCTAGCCCCGTAACCTTGTAAGTGTTGCTCTCCAGGGAAAAGTGACAAATCGTGCCTCTCTCTTTAGGTGTCAAAACACGGAGTCCAGGCCACCCCCACCATCTGGCCATGGCATGGAAATCTGAATTTTATTTTCTCTCTCTTTTTTTTTCTTTTTTTCTCTATGTTTTTCTTTTGTTTGTATGTATTTTTTATTTTTATTTTTATTTTTATTTGTTGGGCATTCAAATTTTAAAGCGCTCCCCAGTGGGGCCTGGTGCAGTGCCGGGGAACCACAGTGCCAGGGCTCCTGGGCGCCCAGCACTGCCTCCTCCGTCCATGGCCCCTCACACAGGGCAGAGGCCCGGCAGCTCTTCCTTTCAAATGTCTCCAAAGCCGAGCCCTCCTCCTAGCGGCTCTCGGTCCCTCCCTGGCCCGAGCATCACCCCTGTCACCTGGATGGCTGGGGCGGCCTCCTGATACCCCCTTACCATCTCCCCTCTGTCCTCAGCTCCAGGGGTGCTCCCCACAAGTGGAACTCATCTCATGGAGTCAACAGTGGCCTGAGCCCCTCTGTGCACCAGGCACCGTTCTAGGCTCTAGGCTCTAACTGCTGTGCGCCTTCCAGTGCACCTGCAGGGAAGCTGCTCTCCCCTGTCTCTTGCCCCCGCCCCCCACAGGCCCCAGGCTGCCCCACCTCAGGAGGCTCCTCCCCCAGCGCCTGGACCGCTCACCCCGCACCTTCCTGCCTCTGGGAGGTCCTGCCTGCCCCCCTCATGTAACTCAGGCACTGCCCAGCTCCCACGCCCCCTCCTCCCTGGCACGATCCCCAGCGACGTTCTACGATCTGTTGGTTCTCCCTGGTCACCCCCCCACACACACAATGTCAGCTGCGGGAGGTGTGGGTTTCCTCTGTCTGGTTCACTCCTGGATCTTCAGCCGTCAATACACGTGGACTCAGTGGGACCTTTGTTTCCAAGTGTTCCGGATCGGTTCCCCCTGTCTGCCCCGCTGACAGCCATGAGCTCGGAGACACGTACGTGTCAGTACCAGGCTCGGTGCCATGTGCTGGGGGCAGGAGCGGGAGTGGCTGCCTGGATCCCCCCCCTTCCCCCATGCTTTACCCTCTGACATTGGCAGCAGGTGTGACTCAACCAGCAGCAGCTGAAGCTGTGACAGCACTGCCCGCCCTCTGCCCAGCCCCTCACGGGTTGGGCCTGGGCCCTGCCCCTGCGTTCTGCCCCACCGTGGGTTCAGGCGAGGAGCACCTTGGGAGGCGGCCTGGCGGGCCCTGGGCCTGACGGCGCCCTGTGTTCACAGAGGTGGTCGGCGTGGGCTGCGTCCTGGACGGGGTGCGCTACGGCAACGGCGAGTCCTTCCAGCCCAGCTGCAAGTTCAACTGCACGTGCGTGGACGGCGCGGTGGGCTGCACGCCCCTGTGCCTGCGGGTGCGCCCCCCACGCCTCTGGTGCCGCCACCCGCGGCGGGTCCGCCTGCCCGGCCGCTGCTGTGAGCAGTGGGTGTGTGACGACGGAGCCCGGAGGCTGCGCAAGACGGCACCGCGCCACACGGGGGACCTAGGTGGGTGCTGTGCGTGGGCGCGGGAGGGTGGGCCTGGGGGGAGCCGTCTCCTCTGGACCTGCCTCCCGGGGTAACCTGGGAACGGCCCTGGCTCTGCCGGTCCCACGGGGTCCTCGGAGACTGACATGAGGGAGGGCTTTGTGGAGAGCAAAACCAGGCAGGTGCGGCTCATGGCGATCCCACGTGCAGACCAGGTGAGGGTGCAGAGGGCAGACCAGGTGAGGGTGCAGAAGGCAGACCAGGTGAGGGTGCAGAGGGGAGGGGCGGGGGGCGAGGCCTTCGGCCCAGATCCTTCCTTGTGATGGGCTGCAGCCTTGTGCACTGTGCGATGCTAAGCAGCATCCCGACCCCTACCCACCAGATGCCCATGGCACCTGCCACTCAAGTGGTAACAGCCCCAAAGGCCAGCAGACCTGGGGGACACGGGGTTCCCTGAGCCACTGCCATGTGTGTGTGGCGAGGGGGAGAGAGGGAAGCTGAGGGCGGCAGATCCCAGAGGCAGGCGGGCACAGGAGGGTTTGCAGAGGCCAAGAGAAGAGAGTGTTCCAGAAGAGAACAAACGGGAAGCAGGAGAGCAACGGTGCAGAGGGGCCACCCCAGGAGGTCCCCCCCACCCCCTGCTGGGGTTCAGGATTGCACAGCCTCTGTGGGTGGGGCTGGGGTGCCCCAGGAAGGAGCAGTCCCTGTGGGGAGGATGTGACAGGAGCGCTGTGTCCCTGGCAAGCCCAGGGCAGCAGTCCCACCATGGGGGTAGGGGAGGGCGGCTGTCTGCCCGCTGTGTGTGGCCCAGTGACCCCATTCTGACCAAACACCAGCAGAGCCCCTGCCTGCCTAGCAGGTGACCCAGAAACCAAAGCCCTTTATCCTCTCAGGCAAATCCCTCCCCTCCGCCCCTCCCAGCCCAGCTCACCCAGACCCACCCCTCCTCTGTCCTCCTCTTTTCCTCCTCCCTCTCCCCTCCCCTCCTCTCCCCTTCCCTCCTCTCCCCATCCATCCCTCATTCATGCATCAATGTTCCCTGCACACCTTGGGCTGGGTATGAGGCCTCACCCTCCCCTTTCTGATCCTATTAGATGGCTTTTCTTTCCTATTTTTGTCTCTCCCTCCCCCATTTTTATCACCTTCCTCTCCCAGCCCCTTTCTCTCTCTCCCACCCCCCACTCTCTCTCCATCTGTCTTCCCCCCTCCCCTCTGCCTGCTCCTTTCTCTCCTGCTCCGCAGGGTGAGACTGGCTTCCTCCTGGGGTCTATTTGGGTACCTCTCGGCCCATCCTCTGTGCCCCGGCCTCCATCCCGAGCTCACGGCATTCTCCATTTCTCAGGCCGCCAGAGAGCATTCTAGATGCCAGGAGAGAAACATTAATGACCCACCCAAGAGCTGGTGTTTGTCGGCCGATGGTTAGGAAACCCTGTGAGCTCACATCGCCTGAGGGCTCACTGGCCTGGGGCGAGCCCACCTTTCCACCCACAGCCCAGGAGGGGGCGCTACCATCACCGCTTCCCCCCTGCCCCCCCCCCACCCCGCCCCGCTGCCCCGGGCAGGTGGGCCTGCTCAGAGCTGCACCCACCCGCTCCCTCTGAAGCCTGTGTGTCCCCTTGAGCACCGTGCCCTCAGCCTCACCCAGAGGAAATGCTGGGTCAGGGGTAGCCACTGGCCTTTGACCTTCCCCCAGATAAACGTGACCTCTGAGGACAGGAACAGCGTCCCCTGGCTTCTGTCCCAGCCCCAAGCAGACGCCGGACACTGCTCAGTCAGTGTCTAGGTTACCCTCAGGGCCGCCCAGCCCGCGAGGCCGCTGGTATTGTCTCAGTGAGGAGGCGGGGCCTGGCCGAGATGTCAAAGGTCACACAGTGGTAGGTGGCCGAGCGGGATTGAAACGCAGGTCCACCTGTCCCTGAAGATGGCCTTCCCTCCAGAGAAGAGGAGGGACTCGGAACAAGGCCTGCTGTCCCTGGGGACCCATGGCTGTTAGAAGCCGACTGGCCACCTCCGTCCTGGCCGAGTTTCAGGGACCTCGGGTGGCGGTGGTGGGGGTTGAGGTGACGGAGGCTGGAGACTCATGGGGGGTCTGGTGTCTGTCCGCAGCGGTCATGGGCGAGGCCGAGCCCTGGCACGGGAACTGCATAGCCCACACCAGCCCCTGGAGCCCCTGCTCCACCAGCTGCGGCCTGGGCATCTCCACACGGGTCTCCAACGCCAATGCCCGCTGCTGGCCGGAGCAGGAGAGCCGCCTCTGCGCCCTGCGGCCCTGTGACGTGGACATCCGCCCGCTCATCAAGGTGGGTCCCCTCCCCGGGCGGGCGGGGCGGGCGTCTCGCGCTCCACAGGGGAGCTGGGCTCTGAGCCGGGCTCCCCAGCTTCCTCAGGGGGCCGCTGTAAAATGGGGGTAAGTAAGCCCACCTCCTAACCGTTATCGGGGAAACGTGTGTCACCGGGTGGGCGTCTTGTGAATTTCACTGAACGGAGTGATCGTGGCGACTATGTTGTTAGCATCAGGGTCTCTCTGGAGAGAACCCAGGGACCCTCAGAACTGGTCCCCTGGTGATTCTGGGGGACCCTTGTGACCGCCATTCTCCTCTGCCCCTGTGCTCACACCACCTGTGTGCACCTCACGCCAGCCACGTGAGTGACAGAAGCACTAGACGGGGTCGGGGACACTGGCATCAAATGCCCGCCTGCTGCTGACTGCACGTGACGGTGCCCCAGGACCCACGTCCGTAACATATGGGGGCCTAGACCTCCCGTCCAGCGCCTGCCGTGTGCCAGGCACGGAATTAGACCGATGGCGCCCAGAAAGAGCCCTGCTCTTGAGTGGCCCGAGAGAGAGACAGAGCAACTTTTTTTAAAATACATTTTTATTGATTTCAGAGAGGAAGGGAGAAGGAGAGAGAGAGAGAAGCATCCATGATGAGAGAATCAGGCATAGGCTGCCTCCTGCCCGCCCCACACTGGGGATGGAGCCCGCAACCCCGGGCATGTGCCCTGACCGGGAATTGAACCGTGACCTCCTGGTTCATAAGTCGACGCTCAACCACACCGGCTGGGCGAGCTACTTTTAAATAACACCAACTCAGTTGAGTAAGTGGGTGTGAGAGGCTGTGGGGAGCAGAGGAAGGGGAGGGAGGGTAAAGCGCGTACCCGGTCACTAGTTAGCTGGGCACTTGGTTGATGGGGGAGCTGCAGGGGTGTCCTGTGGGTGGGGGGCAGGCAGAAATGGAGGGAAGAAGGGAAATTGCAGACTGCGAGGCATGACCTGAGCAAAGCCTTCCGGTCTGTGGGCCTCAGTTGACTCCTGCGTCGCACAGGGGGGTCTTGCTGGGTTGGGGGAGGGCCTCCCCAGCTTGAAGGTGCTGCGGATCTAAAAGAAAGAGGGTGAGAGGGGGTGAGAGAAAAGGGGCCGTGAGGCTGGGAGGGCAGAGGTGGTGGTTCGTCCCCTGAGCATCCCACCGACACCCCTTTCCCGCAGGAAGGGAAGAAGTGTCTGGCTGTGTACCAGCCGGAGGCGCCCGTGAACCTCACCCTGGCCGGCTGCGTCAGCACACGCGCCTACAGGCCCAAGTACTGCGGGGTCTGCACGGACAGCAGGTGCTGCATCCCCTACAAGTCCAAGACCATCGACGTCTCCTTCCAGTGCCCCGACGGCCCGGCTTCTCCCGCCGGGTCCTGTGGATCAACGCCTGCTTCTGCAACCTCAGCTGCAGAAACCCCAACGACATCTTTGCTGACCTGGACCTCTACCCCGACTTCTCAGAAATCGCCAATTAGGTGGGGACCACATGCAGGGCTCGGGCCTGGCCCAACGCGTGCCAAGCAGCCAGCCCTCGGAGGCCCACGGCTGGGCCCTCCCTAGTCCACTTCCCGTTCATTTCCGGTGACCCTGACCCAGACCCTTGGCCCCTTCCCTGTCTCTGACCACCCCATGGCCCACTAGGCTGCTGCTCCGGCCCCGGCTGTGGGTCCCGTCCTTGGCAGCGTCCTGCGTGCCCTCCACAGAAAGTGCCTTCTCCATCTGGTCTGGGCCTGTGTGAGTCACTGTGTGTCCTGAGTCCCATGGAGCGACTCAGCTGGTCCCCCCTTGAGATGCCAAACATGAGACTCCTTGGGTCCACGCAACAGGAGCGATGGGATTGAGGACAACGGATCAGTCTATTGCTCAGGCCCTGCCGAGGGGCCCTGTAATAGACAGTTCTGACCACAGCACCCCAAAGTAGCTCTGATCCCAAAGATTTACGTACCCCGAAGTCACCAGACATCTGCCACGGGAGGCCCATGGTTCCTGGGCTTGGATTTTTCACGGAGAATTGTGTCCATGAATCCGGGCCTTGCTGAGGCTAAGTTCCTCCTCACTCCTGCGCTGTGAGGGGTACACGTTGGGGTCATTTCCTTAGAAATGCCATTTGGTCAATTTCATTCTTGTTCCTGGGGAAAGTCCCCAGTCAGGACTCCAAGGGCAGAGCAAGGTCAGCCCATTTTCCGAAGGAGCGACGGACGCAGCACGCACCCGCTGCTGACCACCAGGACGTCCACGGGGGATGGGCCAGGCTCTTCCCCAAAGCCAGACCCCCACCGGCCTGGGGGCTCAGGGGAGGTGGGGGAGCCCCTGGATGGCCTCGCTCACCCCTGAGAGTGGTGTTCTGGGACATTCTTCTGCACTTAGGGACCTCAACTGACGTCCAGGCCAGACCCTCCTGCAGTGGCCGAGGTCCAGGCCGGGGGTGGGTCAGGCCAGGGGGTGGGTCCAGCCTGCATCAGCCTGGGTGGCAAGGGCCATCTCTTCCTGCCTCAGTGACCCATGTCACAGACTTCAGGTCTGCCGACCCACACGACCCCGTTCTGACCCACAAGACTGAGGTTTACCAGTTGGTTAGAAACAGAAACCTACTTCACAGGGATCAAGAGCCAATGGGGTTGCAGCAAATAGCACGACACGGCTGTCCCCGTGGCAAGGAGGCCAGTATTCATTTTGTTGGTGAACTAGAACTCTCTACTGTTACCTTCTTTCACTCTGTACCTGCCACGCGCCGTGTTCTCGGTGCCTCCCACGCGCTAGCTCACGGACACGTCAGGGTCGTGTTGAAAGGTACCCATTACGATTCCTGCTCTTACAAATGTGAAATGGAAGCTCAGAGCCGCGAGGAAACTGGGCCACAGCCGCCCAGCTGGTCCGTGGGGGTCGGGATTGCAACCCCCGCTGACTGGCCTGATCACCCCGATGTCTTTCCTCCTCTCAGAGCTCCCAAGCGCATCAGGGCAGGAGAACACATCGAAGTCAGCGACTCCTCACTCTCGTTTTTTTTTTTTTGCCCTTCCTCACTGTCTCTCTAGGGCAGTGGTTCTCAACCTTCTGGCCTTTTAAATACAGTTCCTCATGTTGTGACCCAACCATAAAATTATTTTCGTTGCTACTTCATAACTGTCATGTTGCTACTGTTATGAATCGTCATGTAGATATCTGATATGCAGGATGGTCTTAGGCGACCCCTGTGAAAGGGTCGTTCGACCGCCAAAGGGGTCGCGACCCACAGGTTGAGAACCGCTGCTCTAGGGCCTTTTCCAAGAGAGGGGAACCTGGCATTCAGGTCACTGAGGTGCCGAGTGCCCAGAAGCGTGCGAGATGGGCAGAATCCCACGCCTCCCCTGCGGACCGTCCCTCCTGCGGCCCAGAACCGGGCCCTGCACTCACAGGCGGCGTGGTTCGCCCAGCACTGCACACTGTGTGATGCGCGTGGCCTGCAGAGGGATTCCCCACCAGGACACAAGGGCCAGACTGTGTCCTCCGCACTGGGGCCTCCTGAGTGCCTGGGCCGTGCCAGGCGTCCTGTGGTGCGCACACAGCTGGTGAATAAAAGAAACGGCGTGTGTTCCTACCTTTACTCAGAAGCTCTCCTCTTCCACACGTGTGTGACGGTCTCATTTCTATCCGCTGACTCTTCCTTTAAGGGCCATAGGAACAGAGACATGGAAAATGGGTTATTGGGGGGGGAAATTATGTGTGAGGAGAACTGAGCCCATGAGTAATCTCTTCTAGTCTGTGTGGGCCGTGCCGGGTTTTCTCAGGGGGAACTCACCTGCCCTCTACCAATCACAGACTCCGTGACGGGGATCCCAATTCAGCCGAGACCCAAGAGCTCAGTTCTCCCTGAAGAGGCACTCCAGTTTGGGAAACGAATCGTAGCTCCCGGGGTCACAGGAAGCCTGGTGGGAGGAGTTGGGGGTTACCCCTGGAGTGGGTGGGAAGGGTTGGGTCTCCAGCTGCTGCCGAGACCCACGGATGAGGGCACGAAACCAAAACCGGCAGCCAGGAGAACAAAGGTGGAGCCCAGCTGGCAAAACAGCCTCCGGCCACCGACTCCAAATAGCAAACACCTGCACACGAGGGTCGCTCCCTCCCTCCGTGGAGGCCTGAGCCCGGGAGCTGGTGGAGGCAGGTCCAGGGTGTCTGTGCCGGCTCCGCCCCAAAGCTGGTGTGTGTCCCACTGCGCTGCCCAGCACTCGCTGGTGTTCCCGTCACCTGCCTTTCCTCTGCTCCGCTCAGGAGGGGACAGAGAGGCCCTTACTGTGAGTGCTGAATCCGCAGGAGCCTGCGCGCTGCCCACCTGGGCCTGGAGCCGGGCTTCCTCACCTGGGGCCTCCGACCAGGAATCCACGGAGGGAACTCAGGGGCCACGGACTGGACGGGAGAACATGCCTCCTGGTTCTCACTGACCTCTAGCTGCCATTGAGCATTTCGCTCTGTCTCCACACAGACACGAACCCTGACCTCACCAGCTGAGGTCACATCGGTTTTCCCAGCACAGCTGTGGTGGGAACCCCAGGTATTGTGCGCATCACCGCTTGGCAGTTCCACGGAGCCCGCCTCCTCGTTACTATCTAACTTGTTCGTAAAGAAGTACGTGTTGAGCCCAGCCGGTGTGGCTCGGTGGTGGAGCATCGACCTATGAACTAGGACCGTGGTCGGCAAACTGAAGCTCCAGAGCCACATGCGGCTCTTTGGCCCCCTTGAGTGTGGCTCTTCCACAAAATAACACGTGCGGGCGCACGTACAGTGCGATTGAAACTTCGTGGCCCATGCGCAGAAGTCGGTTTTCGGCCTGGGAGAGTCTACCGTGGGGCCTTGACTTACAAGTGTCCCGATTAACGAGTTTTTTGAGACACCAGCTGTCTCTCAGCCGATTTTTTGCATTGAGTTGATAGAGTAATTTGAGTTAACGAGCTCCTTAACGAGCTCGGTCTCGGAACGAATTAAATTTATAAGTCAAGGCCCACTGTGTTTTGAAGAAGTACTGTTGATATTTGGCTCTGTTGACTAATGAGTTTGCAGACCACTGAACTAGGACACCAAGGTTCAATTTCCAGTCAGCGCGCACGCCCAGGTTGTAGGCTCCCTCCCCAGTAGGGGGCGTGCAGGAGGCAGCCCATCAGTGATTCTCTCTCACCATTGACGATTCTCTCTCTCTCTCCCTCTCCCTTCCTCTCTGAAATAAAAATATTTAAAAGAAAAGAAAAACAAAAAGAAGTACGTGTTGCTGTGTCCCCCGATTGCCACACTTGGGCAGTTCTCCTTCCCTGTAAGTGGTTGCTTTTGTAATCCTAGGGGTTTTATTTTAGGCGTCTAACCCTCTCCCTGCCTGGCTTCTGGCCACATACAACACACACAGTCACCCGCCCGGGTCTGGACCACGGCTTTCTCAGGCAGGCACACGTCTCCCACCCTCCGTGCTGTTGTGCACGCGGCCCCCCGGCTGGGATGCTGTCTCACCCTCTGCACTGAGTCAGCAACTCCCAGACCCATTTCCTGAGCCACGGGCCCGACTGCAGCCCGTCCACTCCGCACCCCGCGGCCGGCTTTGTGTTTACCGCCGATGACCCACTCAGACACTCCTCAGGGCAAATGAAGAAAAACCAGAATGAGTGACAGCATGGCGCTGTTTAGGGGGGTGGGGGTGTGTGTGACTTGCCCGGCGGGTGTGGCTCAGTGGTTGAACACCAGGAAGTTGCTGGTTCGATTCCCCATCAGGGCACATGCCTGGATTTCAGGCTTGACTCCCCCAGCTGGGGTGTGTAGGAGGCAGCTGATAGATGATGTTTCTTTCTCATGGTATTTCTATCTCCCTGTCCCTCTCCTTTCCTCTCTTTCTAAAAATCAATTAAAAACACATTTAAAAATGAAATAAAAGGGAGGGCGTCTTAAGTGTGGGCTGTGTTTGGTGCCTTGCTTGGAAAGGGGAGTGGAAAAGGTAAGGACAGCGGAAAAACCTGGCAAAGGCTACCTGTGCCAGGTGATCAAGGTTAAGCTCATCGGCGATAAACGATGCTGACCCACCATGAGAAGGGCCTCCAGGGCCTTCAGTCCGAGGACGCAAACTCTAACGGAACCAGAGGAAAGCATGGTGCACACCTCCATGGAGGCCGCCCCACACAAAGCCTGGCCGGGCTTCTCACACTCTCCAGGTCACAACAGCGAGTGAGAAGCTGTTACAGGCCAGGCGCTAAGGCCGCGTGACTACAGGCCCTGGGTGTCCTGGGGCGGGTCTTGGGGCAGGAAGGGACGGTGGGGCAAAATTCGTGCAATCCCAATAAAGCGTGGAGCTTAGTCAATAATAATGTATCAGTGTCGGTTTCTTAGTCGTGACCGACGTGCCACAATAACCTAAGACATTAATAAGAACAAGGGGACTCTGGCCGAGTAGCTCGGTTGGTTAGAGCCGTGGTCGGCAAACCGCAGCTCGAGAGCCACATGCGGCTCTTGGCCCCTTCAGTGTGGCTCTTCCACAAAATATCACGTGCGCGCACGCAGGTACAGTGCGATTGAAACTTCGTGGCCCATGCACAGAAGTCGGTATTTTGTGGAAGAGCCACACTGAAGGGGCCAAAGAGCCGCATGTGGCTCGCGAGCCGCGGTTTGCCGAGCCACAGTTTGCCGACCACTAGAGCATCGGCCCAATGCACCAAGGTTGTGGGTTCCACCCCCGGTCAGGGCATATACGCGAAGCAGCCAAGGAATGCATGCGTCAGTGGAACAACAAATCAATGCTTCTCTCTCTCTCATCAATTTAAACATAAAAATAAAGTTAAAAATAATAAGGGAAACTGAGTGTGAGGCGTGGACTAAAACGGGCCACATGCGAACGTGACTAACTCAGGGGGGGCCTGCGGGCGGCCTTGCACACTCAGAGACCTAAAGGATGATCTGCCGTTAAAACTTTTGAAATTAAAAAGTTTATAGTGGGTAGTCATGTCCTAGGCCAGTATCTTCCCTGACAAAGACCAACTATGAGTCTATGGTCTTTCTGCATCTAAGGTAACATACCTGTGGAATGTCGGGGTAACTTGTAACTTCCCTTTTCCGGGGCCCCTCAGGGCACAGCCAAGGCGCTAGGGCGGGGACCACAAACTCCCTCCTGTTATCCTGTTCATTGTTGACTGTTAACTGTCCTGCACCCGAGTAAAGGAAGCATGTGTCCGTCATTTCACTTTTTATCCAATCCCAGAGGTTCCCTGCTTTGCTTTCTCCCGCCTCCCTATCCTATCACCAATGGAGTTCATCTCACCCACTAAGGTCTCCTCCTTCGATTGCAATGGATAGAACGTGGTGCAGAACCGCCCTTCTCCAGAACATTCTCTCAATGCAATGAGATTCTGCTTCCCAGCAATTGTCGACAGGTTGGCTCCAATAAACTCACAAAAACGTTTAATGTTTTAACATTTTGAATGTTTCTTACGTTAGCAGGGGTCTCCGGGAGCTCACCGTGCTATCTTTGTCACTGTTTTGTGAATTTTAAACTGATCTTAAGTTGAGACAAAAATGAGAGGTTGTACTAAAACCTGTTGGATTTACTTTTTCCTTTCTCAGTAGAAACACGCATTCGAGTGGTTGTGATTGGGTGTGAGGAAAGGAGTGGCCTTTCCACAGACATGTCTAAAAGGAAAAGAAACTGTACAAAGGCTATTTCCCTGTCTGTGCAGGTCGAGGAGCCGTACCCACTGCTGCTGTGCCCCCCAGGCTGCTGGGCACTGGCCTGGGGTTGCTGTGGTGTGAATTACACGCTGGTTTTGAGGCATAAAGAAAAGAATGACACCCCTGAATGACTGTTACACTGAGTCTACGCTGAAACGGGAGTATGCCAATTCCCTGGGTTACATGCATTGCTAAAGTTAAATTCACCTTTTCTTTCTTTCTTCATGTGGCCACCAGAAAATGGGACGCTGCCCGGCCGGCATGGCTCAGTGGTTGAGGGTCGACCTATGAACCGGGAGTTCACAGTTCGATTCCCGGTCAGGGGCACATGTCCGGGTTGCGGGCTCGATCCCCAATGGGGGTTGTGCAGGAGGCAGCCGATCCATGATTCTCTCATCATTGGTGTTTCTCTCTCTCTCCCTCTCCCTTTCTCTCTGAAATCAATAAAAAATATTTATCTTAAAAAGAAAATGGGAAGCTCACGTTGCATTTTTATTGGGCAGCGATGCTCTATGAAGCCACAGGCGAGGGACCAGTGGCCGGGGCCCAGGGAAGGAAAGGCCGCCCTTAAACCTCGGCGCCGCACGCACGCTCTCCGCAGAGAAAAAGGACACCTCACTGCAAAGTTACAAATTTATTGGTCTGGAAATAAATACAAATATCTCGTTAAGAAACTCCTCTGGAGAGACGTGTACACAGCAGTTTTCTGTCTGGATCCAGCCACTACCCTCTGCTCGAGGTCAGGGGACACCTCCCATAGAAGGCGGCAGGTGGATGGACTCGTTCATGACGGACTCGTTCATGACCCCTCATGCTGCCTGCAAGGCCTGATTACTCCCTTCCACCAACTCCAGGGTCCCAGCGGCCGATTCACAACGTCCCATTCCCTCTGACCAAACTCCCTAGCAGATGCATGGTTAGCCGGGATGAAAATCGAAAGGCAGTAGTATGGGAACGTGACCCAAACATGTCAGTGGTGCCGCCCCATTCAGAGAGGGGAGGTTAGGGGTGCAGGGAGGAGCGGGAGGCAGGAGAGGGAAGGAGATCCCAGGGGATACACATTCCAGAACCCTTACACCTGCTCCCCCACCCCCCGGAGTCCCCATCCCGTACAAAAGCCAACAGGTCTATCTGAAGATCCGGGAATGTAACCGGGTCAGAAAGGTTGGGCCGTCAAGCTCAGATTCAACCATGATTGAACTCAATCACAGAAGGTCTCGCTCGAAACCAGGAGGAGATCCACAGAAATCACAACTACCCTGGATTCCATCCCAACCACAGGAGTCTGTTATTTACATCTGGTGCCCAAACCCCGCCCCCGCCCTGCCCCGCAGCATGGACATTCCTGGCAGCGGGCACAGCTGTTGGGAATGTCCCATCTCCAGGAAAGCACCCCCATATTTAGAGGCTCTTCCCCGCGAAGGAAATAACCATTCGCTCCTGTCTTGGGGGTGGGAAGCAGGGGCTGAGGGGGAGGAGGAGAGAGCAGAGCCAAAGCTTTAAACCCATGATGCCAAGCACTTGCCGACGGGTTTTGTTGTTGTTGCAGCAAAGCCAGGAGGATCTGTCCCCGCCTTTGTGTTCATGAAAAACAAATGTCAGGAAAGCAGGTCTGCGTGCGCACGTCGGCATTGCAAAGTGTGTGCATGCGCGAACTTTAAAAATCGATTTCAGGTGAGCTATGTAGATTTGCTTTTCCAAACTCTCTGAGCCTCCCAGTAAGCTCCGCCTCTTTTCCCTCGGCCTGTTTTGCCTACACCAGCCCACCCCCCTGGGCTCGCTGCTCCCTCCTCCCCAAACCAGAGGAGGGTATTGTTTCCAGAAACTGGGTGGGTTTGTCTTTAGCAGGAGAGGAAACAGAAGCAGGTGGGCTGACTTCCCCCAAAGGCCCCTGAGAGCCCAGATGCCCCGGTCGGCCTAGGCCTGGATTAGGACCTATTTCCTGCTGTGTTTCTTGTTTGGGGCGGTTTGGCATCTCGGAGGGAGGGGAAGCCAGCGGCCACCAGGCCACTCTTCAATGCACAGGGGACACTGAGATGCTTTGGTCCACCCCGCCTGGCCCTGGAGGGGGCGCCCTGGACAAATCCCATCTAAAGTCATGGCCAGAGCTCCCTCGTACAAAACTAGCTTGGGGTTAATACCGAGTTGCGTGCGGTATGGCGGGCGGGGGCTGGGGAGGGCGGGAGGAGGGGGCAGCTACTATGGTCCCACAGTCCAGGGGGCGGCGGTGCTCGCAGGCCACCTAGCAGGACACCTCCATGGACTTGGGCCCGGCGTTGTTCCCAGTGGAGCCGGAGTTGGGGGTGATGTCCAGGCGGGCGCCCTCGCTGGTGTGGGAACGGCTCCGGGTGCCCTCGCTGGTGTGGGAGCGGCTGCGGGTGCCCTCGCTGGTGTGGGAGCGGCTGCGGGACCCCTCCAGGGACGTGACACTGGAGCCCGAGGCCGTGCGGGACCGCATCAGGCGGGTCATGCTGGCAGAGGGCACTGGGGAGAGAGGAGAGCGCCGTTAGGGTGGGAGGACGCTAGGAGCAGCCACACGCCAGCCTGGGGCCTGCTCTGTGCCCACCTGGCCGAGCATCTTTTTTTTTTCTATGTTTTTATTGATCTCAGAGAGGAAGGAAGAGGGAGAGAGAGAAACATCAATGATGAGAGAGAATCATTGATCGGCTGCCTCCTGCACGCCCCCTACTGGGGATCAAGCCCACAACCCAGGCATGTGCCCTTGACTAGAATCGAACCTGGGACCCTTTAGTCTGCAGGCCGATGCTCAATCCACTGAGCCAAACCAGCCAGGGCCAGAATTCACTTTCAGAGCAAAAATCTGAGCCCAGCGGAGGCCTAGGTAAAGAAGTCGGGCTCGCACCCTGCAAGGTGAGCAGGGCGGTGGCGCTATTCCCATGGGGAGAGTGGCTCAGGCCCGCGGGCAGCTGATTTCTGTTGGCAGAGGGCACCTGGGGACACGGACCCCACCCGCTCTCAGCCTCACAGACACCAAGCATGACTGAGGCCCGCCTGGGAGCTGCGGTCAGACGCACTGTGACTATTTTAAACGAGCAAACAGCTGAAGCCTCCGAGAAAAAAGTGAACGACATCAGACGTACAAAGACGCCCCTGTTCAGATGGGCACGTGGATTATAACCCGAGCAGTGGGCAGGAGAGCCAGAGACGCCACCTCGGGCCAGGCCACAGCCCATGCCCCTCCGAGCACCAGCCGCAGGACGGCCCGGTGGGGTGTTCGGCCTTGGCCTTGTCTGTCCGGGTCCTGGGCTGCCTTTCCAACAAGGACTGCACGTGTCTGATGAATACACGTGAACATGACACAGGAAGCAGCCGTTCTTGAATCATGCCACTGTGTTCCCGTCAACTCCCTAATCTAATGGGTTTTTTGCTGTTGTTAATTCTAACCGGAGGATATTTTTCCATTGGGTTTTTTTGTTTTGGGGGGTTTCTTGGGGGGCGATTGTGGAAGGGAGGGGGAGAGACACAGAGAGAGAAACATTGATGTGAGAGACACATCCATCGAACAGGCCCGGGATGGAGCCTGCAACCGAGGTAGGTGCCCTTGACCAGAATCGGACCCCGGGCCCTTCGAGGGCCAACGCTCTATCCAGTGAGCCAAACCGGCCAGGGCCCAAATGTAAAGTTTTAGCAAAGACACGCTCGGTCCTCATTAGCAGCAACTTGATCACCCACTTACTCAGAGCTTTATAGTGGTTTGTTTTTGTTTGGTTTTTTGAAGCTTTGTATTTTTTAAAGAACTTTCACAGATCCCTGCTCTGCCCCTTGCCTCCGTTTTGTCACTTGTAAATTAGAATTAGAGTATCTTGTGGGATTACTGGGATGGCTCAATGAGAAAAAAAAAATGAAGGATTCATTAATAATCCTTCATAACCATCAGCAGCAACAGCCTCATCATCACCATCATCGCGACAACGGAAAGTCCCTTAGGAAAGCAATAATCAGAACTAAAAAGGTTTCCATGGTCTGTCGCACTGTTTGTTGTCGTCTTGGTGCCTAGAAGGCTAGGCTTCCCCTAAAGCTAAAAACACCCCCTGGTGTGAGACAACTCTGCTCAAGCCTGGAGGGCGAAGGAGCCGCTGTGGGGCCAGGGAGACTGCCCAGCTCCCCTCCCTGCACCTCTCTCTCCCCGACCCGCCCGTGTGCAAGGAGCCGCTGTGGGGCCAGGGAGACTGCCCAGCTCCCCTCCCTGCACCCATCTCTCCCCGCCCCGCCCATGTGCCAGGAGCCGCCGCTGGCCAGGACGACACAGAATTCTCATCCGAACCCGGTTCGGGGCATCGCATTCCCAGCTCCCACCCGGCCCTGGCCCGGCGCCTGCCGGGAAATGCCATACTTACTGTATCCCATGCCCTGCACGAAGTACTTGAAGGCCTCCGCGAGCTTGGCTGGCTGCGAGAGAAAAGAGGGGACAGGGGAGTCAGTCCCCGGGGGTCCGGGTCACGGATGGCCACGTGAGCTGTGGCCGTGGTCACATTCATGAATGACCTGGGCCCAGCTAATTTCGGTCCCTACAATGACCGCACACAAAGTACAGGAAGGAGTATGGGTCATCGTAGGGACCGAAATGAGCTTTGACGAGGGAGGAAAAGTCAAATTCGCGGGGCTGAGGAGGGCCAGGGAGCTCTGCAGGGCCCAGGGGAGCAGGAGTGCGGGCTTGGAATGGGGGTGCCTGGGCCCAGACGGCTCCCCTGGGAGACCATGGGCAATCTCTCCCCTCTGCTGGTCTGATTTCCCTCTTCCTGACCTGGAATGGAACTGCCACCTCCTGGTTCATAGGTTGATGCTCAACCACTGAGCCACACCGGCCGGGCATGACTCTCCCTTTTCTATCTGACAGCCCTTGAAGTTAGCGGGGCCCCATGAATCGAAGAGCTGGTCCCTACCCCACAGGGTCACTCCTAGCTGCACGTGGCAACCTGTGGGCGCTGGGTCGGGCAGACCTAGACCCCGGCCCCCGACTGCCCAGCTGTGTCCTCTGGACGAATGCCTCACTCGGGGCCCCTGTCATCTCCTCCCAGGGGCTTCTGGGAGGTCAGTGAGTCCTCACATTCAAGCGCTGTGAACGGTAACGTGCGTCATCAGAGGACATGGGCGGGGGGGGGGGTGACCAGGCAAGGAGGGGAAGCAGCGACAGGTCTCAGGGGCACAGGCCTCCACCCGGGCGGTGGCAGGAGGGACTCACCTGGGAGATCTGCGGGAGGCCGCCACAGTCCGCCATCTGGGAGAGAGGAGGCTGGTTAGTGCGATCGCCCCCGTGGAGGCAATCCCCCTCTGCGAACCGGCTCCAAATGTGCAACGCCCTGCCTGCCTCCCTGCCCACCTCCCTGCCCGCGCCCTGTCTGCTGCCTGTGCTGCTGAGGGGGCTGGCGCAGTATGGGTGGCAAACGCCCAGCCCCACCCAGCAAGGCTGCTTTTACTTCTATCGGCCCCGGCACTGCCTTTCTTGGCCCGTGACGTGCACCTTCTAATATACCCATCGATCATTTTACTCTGTTCCCCGAGAACCCAGGGTGGGCACTGTCCCACCTGAGCGGCAGCAGCTGGGCCAGGCGGAGCTGGAGGAGGCCCCGGCACACGTGCCCTGCACAGACCCCCTCGGGAAGAGACTGCCAGGCTCGAGACCTCGGCCTCAGGGGGCTCCTGATGGGCCGCCCTGGGGAAACGTGCCCACTCCCCAAGTGGCTACAAAATCACCAAACCTAAAGCCCTGGGCACTTCTTAAAGCCACTCCAGTCACGTGTGGCATGTCCCCGGGAGGGGTGATGACGGGCCTGGCCCAGGGGCCCCCAGCAGCAGCGCACGGATGGCTTTGAGGGAAACGGGCCAGAAGGGGTCAGTGAGAGCCGGTGACTCGGGCCCACCCTACAGCCCAGGGTCAAGGTCAGATCCCAAGGGCAATAGACTCCTGGGGTCCCACGGAGGGGTCCTCTCCTCTGACCTCTCACCTTACCAGCCAGCACCCAGGAGAAGTGTGTGAACAGATAGTAAATCGTTATTTCTATCTTGTCTGACCCCCAGCTTTGCCTAAACCAGGCACAACTCAATTTTTGCAGAAAACCCATGAGTTTTAAGGGCACATGCCAACCCTCCTCACGTTCCCTGTACCTTGAGGAGGGTGGTCTTGGTTGGGTCCAGCTTTGAGTTGCACTCCACCTGGACAAGGAGAGGGAGGAGAAATCTGTTAATTTTCTACTGGAGCCCAAGTCACACCTTCTCCCCGGGCTCTGTTCCCCCTCCCCCCCCCCCCGGTTCCCTCCACCACCATCCTCAGGCACTCCAGTGTTCCCATGGGCACAGAAGAAAGAACGTGGGCTCTGAGATTAAACAGATGTGGCTTTTGCCCGGCCGGCATGGCTCAGTGTTTGAGCGTGGACCTATGAACCAGGAGGTCACAGTTGGATTCCTAGTCAGGGCACATGCCTGGGTTGTGGGCTCGATCCCAGCATGGGAAGTGCAGGAGGCAGCCCATCAATGATTCTCTCTCATTGATATTTCTCTCTCTCCCTCTCCCTTCCTCTCTGAAATTATATCTATAAAGTAAACAGATGTGGCTTTCAACTCCAGCCCTGCCATCACTAGCTGTGTGACAAGTTACGTAACTTCTTTGAGCCTCAGTCCCCGCATCGATAAAAGGAGGCTGCTATAGTTGAGGGGTGGTTAGGAAGACTCCCGAGTATGCAGAAGGTGCTCTAGAAATATTCACTAAATGACTGGCCTTCTTCAGCCACCTGAGGCCGGTGAGTCTCTAGGTCGGACACCCCAGGCCCAAACATCATTCTTCATACGTGACCCCCTGCACCAAGCTGCCCCCTGTCTTCCATGTCCCGGCCCCCCTAACAGCACATGGGCACCGGGCAGAAGGCCGGCTCGTGCCCTGTGATGTGCCAAGTGCCTGTGGGAGAGCCTCCTCTCCCCATATGTGAACAATACACCTCTATGGGCGCATCTGCCCCCGGGGCAATGACAACAAAGGCACGTCTCTGTGACATGAACCAGGGCGGATGCTGCTCTGCAGTCCCCTGGTGGGAATTAAAGGGTGACAGAAGCCGGAAAACCATGCCTAAGCCCAGCTCCCAGGTGCCCCTTGTCCTGCCAGACAGTCAGGCACCAGCCAGGCCTCCCAAATGGGAGGAAAGCGTCTTGGCCAGGAAGCCAAGTGGGAAACACGCTCATAGAAACAAGCCGGCAGGAGGCAGATGGGCAGGGAGGGGGCCTGGGAGGGGAGGCGGAGGGCCCATGGCCAGGCACCCAGGCTGACAGTCGCCAGGGAAAGAGGCTGGTGGCTGGGCCTCTGCCCAAAGGCCAGGGTGGCATTTAGAAGATGTCACCTGCCCGGGTGGGTGGAGGAAAGGAGAGAGATGGGGAGGGTGTGGATGCTGAATTAAGCACAAAAACCAGTGGTTGGTGTCTACGTACCACAGCATCCACGGCGGGAGAACTGTCCCCAACCACCAGCAACACAGGACACCTGGGGGCAGGGGAAGAGGGGGGTTAACACACGGTTCATTGAAAGACCCGCACACTCCCAGGCCTGCCAAGGTCCTCACAACATTATTTTGTTTTCTCCAGGGCCCTTGGCTCATTTCCCTCCATCCTCTGCTTTGTTCTTAGAATAAAATCGATCGGTAAGTCATTGACACTTTAGAATGAATTTCACCAGAGAATTTCTATGCTCTGATGTTCTTCTATTTTAAACACCCTCTCCTCAAGGAAGGCTGAGTAGGATGTGGTCAGCAATCAAGCTCAGAGACACCAAGGACAAAGCTGACAGGGAAATGGCATGTGTCGAGTGCAGGTGTGGGATAACACGGCCCCCTCAAGGGACCAAACAATGACAGTCACTTTCGGGGGGACACAGCTGCTTGTTTCCGAGACTGTCTTCTCCCCCTGGCTTAGGAGGGCTCTTAGGGTGGGTCCCGTGCCCCCTTCATCCCCAGGCGCTGTGAGGCAAGGCAGGCACAGTATTCAACGTCAAGTAGGTGCTTAATGAATTCTGTCCAAAGTGCAGTCAGCACTTCTCTGAGCCCCAAGCTCCACCCTGGGTCTTGGGGCCACCCGGGAGCTGAGCACCTGCACAGGGAGAAGAGTGAGACTGGGCGTGCCCTGCCCTGGGGGGAGGGGGCACATCCGGTTCTCACTGCTGGCGATGTCCTGGCACAGGGCAGTCCTGCCAAACTCGGAAAGAAGGCCGTGCGGGCACCTGGGCGCCAAGCAAACCAGACAGAGACGGGGGAGAAAACAACTCACTGCAGGGTGACTGTGTGCACTCCCGGCATCGGCCGCTCGATCTCCAGGTCCCGCCGGCTACAGAGGGCGGACGAAAGCACCATTAATTACATCAGCAGGGCCGCCCCATCCACCGGGGAAGCCCTCCCACTGAGCCAAAGCCAGGAGGTCCTGCCATGGGCCATTCGAGGAGGAGACAGAGCCCGTGAGCTCACTCCTGGCCCCTCTGAGGGGCCGGGTAGCGCTCGCTCCGCAGGCTGAGCGAGCTCCCCAAGTTCCAGAACTTCGGGCTCGCACCCGTGGCCCCGAGCTGCCCCTCCTCCAGTGAGCTCCGGACAGGCACCCAGTTACGGATAAGAGGCCTGCGTTCTTGCCAGAGGCCGTGTGCAGGCGTTACGTATCGTGGCAATGACTCACCCCCTCCCAGCAGCCTCCCTGGATTCCTCCCACCCCCATTGCTTTGCTTCTCTCGCAGCTCTCCCTCACATCTGTGCCCACATCTGTGCTCACACCTGTCCTCACATCTGTTCTCACACCTTCCTCACACCTGTCCCCACACCTGTTCCCACACCTGTCCCCACACCTGTCCTCACATCTGTGCTCACACCTGTCCTCACACCTGTCCCCACACCTGTCCTCACACCTGTCCCCACACCTGTCCCCACACCTGTCCTTTCCTAGGGTCACCATGGGCGCAGGCACGTACTCCCAACTCTGAGGGTGTGACTGGGTCCCACTCACGTTGGCTTCCCCCGGGTGTGGAGTGGTAGCCCGGCTCCTGGCCTAGGGCTCAGCACTCCAGGAGACACCTGGCTAAGGGCACCCCGTCCTGTTGCTCCATGTGCTCAAATTCAGGGGCTGCCTCTCCTACAGTTACTACAGCCCCCTCTGCCTCACCCCACGCTCCAGCCCTACGGAGGGAGCCCGGCAGGCATGGCCGTGCGGGGCCGCGGCCCCCGTACCTGTTGTAGGCGTTGATGAACAGGTGCAGGTTGCCCGGGTTCATGTCGTTAAGGATGTGCTGGCGGTAGGTGTGCACCACCTCCACGTTGTTCTGCATTTCCTCCTGCAGCGAGAGGAGACGTGTCTGTCATGGACCCCGCGATCAGAGGCGGCCCGAGCCCGAGTGGGAAGAAGGGGGCCGATGTCAAGCCCGAGCTGTTGTCAAAACCGCTCTCGAGCATTTAAGCGACAAAGAGGCCAACTGGCTGTTCAAAGAAAAGATCAGCCAAAGAACCTGGAGAACTGACCGAGTCCAGGCCCCTACTCACCTTCCCGAAGAGGTGGGACACCACCATGTCCGGAAGGGCCTGGGTCCATCCGGAGATCTGGGGAGGACAACAGGGGGATTAGGAGGAAGGCGTTGCAGGGGCGAGACAGGCCAGCCCAGCCCCGTGCCCTCGGGGCTCCAGCACTCCGTCTGAGGATGCCCCAGGGACGGGAACTGGTCACAGCCTCTGGTTACCTTCCAGACCTGCAGCCCCCAGAAGGCAGGGCCTGGCTCTCCACCCATCACTCTGCTCGGAGCCTGGGCGCAGAAGGTGCACGCACAGCTGTGCTGAACGCACCCGCCTGCTCCCAGCTTTCCCTGCGCCGGAGCGCACTAGTCGTCAGCAGGAAGGACCCCGTGCATTTGCTCTCAACACAGGCTCCCGAGTCCACACCTCAGATCTGCGCCTCTCTCCGAATACACTGCGGTTACTAAAGAAATCAATGACCTTCCTTCTATCTCTCTAACAACAGTGCTAGGCTTTCTATCTCTCTAACAACAGTGCTAGGCTAGGTACACAGGAGGAGCTCCATAAATGCTAGATATACAGTAGGCGATCCATAAAATCTAGGCACACAGAAGGAGTTCCATAAATGCTATGCATACAGCAGGAGATCCATAAATGCTAGATATACAGCAGGAGATCCATAAATGCTAGGCACACAGCAGGAGATCCATAAATGCTAGGCACACAGCACAAGCTCCATAAATGCTAGGCACACAGCAGGAGAACCATAAATGCTAGGCATATCACAGGGGCTCCCTAAGTGCTAGACAGACAGCAGCAGCTCCATAAATGCGTGCTGACTACCAGGGCCCCACTGTGTGGCCCAGGGCAGCTGCAAAGCCTCTGGACCTCCGACTGCCGATCGGTAGCTGGGGCTGCCAGGAACTTCAAAGTGCCCGGCCACGATGAGGATTATGGGAGCGGCCGCACATGTCACAGGATCTGACCCCAGTGCCTGACTTACAGTAGACCTCTGATGTAGGTCTTTTTTCTCCAGGGCTGGGGTCGAAAAGGAAGGATATGGTGCAGATACTAAAACCCCACAAACATTCCTCAGGCTGCACGCAGCCAATGGCTGATGTCCCCAGCCCTCCACGTCTGGCTCAGAGCAGTTACCCAGGAGCCAAACTGGCTGAGTAGAATGTCACTTCCTTTGCTGGAAAATAAAATAAAAAACAGGGAGTGTGTTCCGCTCCCAAATGTCACGCAGGCCGGAGGGAAGGGCTCCCGCCTGCTGGCCCAGTGCTCCAGGGAGAAATGCAGTCTCAGGCCGGCCGGCCAGGACGCGGTGGGAGGGGGGGAGGCGCACGACCCCTTTCATCTTCCTGTCCCCGCCGGCCACCCCAACATTGGCAAAAATACACGGTCAAAATGAGACGCCAGGATCACCCCTGGTTAAAAGGCTCTGTCCTGCTTCAATTAGAGCGGTTTCCCCATCTCCTTGGCAAATACAGGGGCTTTTATGAAAAAAACAATCATCATTTTTAAATAAACAAGGAACCCTAGGCCACCAGCCAGAGCAGAGCTTCCCGAGACAATGAGGGCCCCTCGTGTCCAGGAAGGGACATGCCCAGCCCTTCTATGCCCAGCCCGGCGGCACTGGGGTGGGGGTGGGCCTTGGACACCTGCTGCCTGGGAGCTGTGAGCACAGCCCTGGGGAGGAGGCGGGGAGGCCCAGGGCTCTCCAGTCAGCCAGTTCTCTTTCTGCACAGCCTCCTTACCCACGGGGAGCCTCAGTTTCCCCCTCTGTGAATGGCATGACAGCCCCACCTCCTGACGGTCCCAGGAGGATTCAACAGGCCAAGCACACATAGCAACAGGGAGCAGAACTAGCACCTGGTAACCATCCAGGGGCGGGGCCCTTTCCCTGCCAAGGGCCATTGGGATATGCATAGCGTCATTCACAGGCCACACAAAATTATTAACTTAAAAACTAGCCTGCGATCCAGGGTCCAACATTTAATTAACTCACCCCTGATGCCTTGGCAGGGCCCGACCGAACGATTTCGGGGGCCTTACAGGGCCGGCGGGCCGGAGGTTCCCCACCCCTGCTACATGCTAGCTAATTATTATTGTCGTCACACTGAGTGGCATAGGGTCAGTACCAAATGCACATCTGGTACCAAATGCACATCTGTTTCATTAGGAATAGGAGGGTCCTGGGCTGAGAGGCGTTGGTCTTGCTCATCTTTCCATTCCCAGCCGATGCTCCGTCCCCGGCAAAGACTCCTACCCAGATGATGCTGGTACGAGCCGGCCCGGGGACCCTGACCCTGTGGCCCTGACCCTGCTGGCTTGGCCCGCACTGTCTACGGGTGCCCAATGGCAGATGTCTGGGGTCACGCACTGTTCTAAGCAAAGCAGAGGAACCTGCTCTCTTTCTGGGGGTGGGGAGTCGCAGAAAAGGGTGCCACTAGGCAGGGTCTCAGTCCCACAGTCCTCAGGGGAGGGGGGAGGGCTCCCAGCCCCTGTGTTTCGGGACCCCACCGGCCCGGCCCAGGCTCACCTTGGAGGCCGCCCAGTCCATCCAGCCCTCGGCACAGGGGTTCACGTTGATGAGCACCAGGCCCTCCACCATCTCGGGGTTGTTCAGCTGCAATTCAGACACGAGGTGAGAGACAGCCCGGCAACCTGAGACAGCATGAACTTCACACATCAAAGCAGAGAGGGAGCAGGACTGGGAGAGGACTCGCGTGGCCCCAGAGCACGTGCTGCTCTCAGAGTCTCCAGCCCCCAAGGAGGCGCATAAGGGGACCTGCCACAGCCGGCTGCTGAGTGAGCAAAGCCGACGATGGAAGAATACGACTTGGATGGCAGGTCAGTGCAGGAAAAAGCTCACACACACACACACGTGCACGCACACACACATGCACGCACACATGCATGCACACCACACACGCATGCACAACTCTGGACCACACAACTATGGTTCTCCCTTGGGAAATGGAATGATGGATCATTCTTTTTCCCTCTGGGGATTTTTGATGCTTGTCCAATTTTCCTCCTTCACCTTGAATTAATTTTACCTAAAACGTAATTTTTTAGAAATGCCCAGGAACTCACAGCGAATCGAGTGAGGATGTAGGCGCCAGCCCCGGTCCCCATGCCAATGACGCTCTTCACCCTGGAAGCAGAAATTGAAAGCTGATGTCACGGAAGATGTGAGCGCCAGGAGCCCTGCGCACCCTCACCCCTCCCCCACGCCCTGTCCCCGGGGAACCTCGGCTCCCCCAGGGTCTGTCCGGGTTGCCACTGAGGAAGGCTAGCCGGCGAGACAACGTGGGGACCGCCGGCCTGCTGGGCCCTCCAGACCTAAAATGCATCACGCCTTATGGACTCACAGAAGGCCGTGACCTTGAGGGACTCGTCCCACTTCCCCCCTTCTCTCCTGACTGCCCGGCATTTACGGGAAGGCCTTCCCGCTTCTTCCCGCTCCTAAGCTTTATTTTGGATTCGAAAACTTGGCATGAAAATAAACCGGGCAAGAAGTCTGAGGTGTCATCATCACACCAAAGGCTCACGTAAGAAGGAAATGAGCACTGGAGGAAGAAGGGCCTGGGGAGAGAGGAGCTGAGGGCTCAGGCAACCCAGAACGTTCCATGGGAAAGAGAAAACAATGAAAGAAGAGAAAGCAGGAAAGGATGGGGGGAGCCTGGCATCGGGTGATGTCATCACTCAAGGAGAAAAGCCCTGCTCGCAGGAAGCAGTGGGAATAAAGAGGAAGCAGAAATCAGCGAGGACAGTGAGCCAAGAGCATTTCTTCCCTGAGCTTTAAACTGCAGCCTGGCCCAGCTGGCATGGCCCAGTGGTTGAGCATCGACCTATGAACAGGAGGTCATGGTTCGATTCCCAGTCGGGGCACATGCCCAGGTTGCAGGCTCGATCCCCAGTGTTTCTATCTCTCTCTTCCTCTCCCTTCCTCCCTCTCATCATTGGTGTTTCTATCTCTCTCTTCCTCTCCCTTCCTCTCTAACATCAATAAAAATATATTTAAACTGCAGCCTATGTCGGGGTCAGGCCAGATGGAGGCTAGAGGAAAAGCAGATGCGGGAAGCCGCTCTCCCTGCAGGCTGGGGTGGAGGAAGTGGGGGGCGGGGGGGAGCGGATCCCTCACTCTTACCCAAACTGGTGGAGGACTCCCGGCAGCATCTCGGCCAGCTGGTCCATGGACGGGTACATGTACCTTGGGAGAAGCCACACAGAGGAGTTAGTGAGAGCCCGGACCCGAGGAAATTAACAATGTCAACAGGAACAGGCCGGAAGGGGAGGGACCATGGGCAACCTGGCCCAGGTGTGCCGACGCCCCACAGCGCCCCCCTGTGGCCCTCACTGCGAACACCCCTCAGGGTACACAGCCTTTTCTGATGAGCAAGAATGTCTCCATCCCTCTTTCTCCACCTTCCTCTTTGTAAAGTAAGCCTTTACGACAGCTTCCTGTGTGCCAGGCCCCACCCCAAGCATTTGGTGAGCTTTGTAAGCTCCTTTAATCCCTGCGACAACTCGATGGGGTTGCTATGCTCTCCCCCCATATAAAGATTATAACTGTCACTGAGGCTTGGCTCCACGGAAGAGTATATATTTTATCGCAATAAAAAAATGAAGAGCCAGTCTAGCGCCTCCCCCACCACCTGCTTCCACCCTGTAAGGCTTCCTCCCCCTCCTGGGGCACCAGGCTCCCCACTCACCCCACGGGGAAGGACGCCGCGCTGTCCTGCTGGCCAGGGGCGTCCACGTGGCAGACGGCGAAGTGCTGGGTGATCTCCTGCATGTCCTCGGAGTTGAAGAGGGGGTTGTAGCAGGTTTTGTCTGCGGGGGGGGGGGGGGGGGACAGGAGAGGGGTGAGTGAGGATGGAATGAGCTGGCTTGCTCCCTGCAAAGCGCGTGCATGTTTGCTTGTTTCGCTCCTATTCAGCAGAAGGAAACGGCTCACAGCACGGACGCCCATCTTTTGTTCCCCTGTCCCACTTTCCTGTGGCGATAAAAGGCAAGAACAGGCCACGGCAAGGGAGTGCTCGGGGAGGTGGAGATGGTCCATAAACCGTACTGTACCCCCTGGTGGATGAGCTTCCAGTTTAACCCCAGAAGGGGCCTCCTGCTTCTTCCCAGTCACTCATGGCCATCATGGCCCCAGCAGGAGGGGGGGTTACTCCACTGACATTCTCTCTCCCTGGGTTCCCTAAACTCTCACATCGGGGACACTGGCCAGGGCACAGGAGCTGGAGCATAGGCGATAAAGCACAGATCTCCCACTTCCTATAGACCGTGGATGAGTCTCCTAACTGTTGAGAGTCTGAAGCAAAGATGGCCAGTTTTTCTTCCTGGGCCACACAGATGGACTACATTTCCCAGCCTCCCTTGTAATTAGAGGCGGTCACGTGATCGGGTTCTGGCCAATAGCCTGTGATGCTTGCTGCTTCCCTGGAACACCTGCTCCCCAATCCTCTGGGTTTCTCTCCCTTCTGTCATCTGCCTGCCAGATGCAGAGGAGCCAGCAGAAGCCTCTGGGGCTCCGGGGGATGGCAGAGCCGCAGCTGGAAGGAGCCTGGGCCCCCGAACCACCACGTGGAAGGGGCCACAGCGAACGCCCACTGACTCGTTAAGTGAGGGAGAAATATCGTATATGGGATGAAGCCGCAGAAGTTCCGGGTCGTTTGCTACAGCCATTGGCTTACTCTACCCCTGAGCCTCTCTAAAACGGGGTGCATCACACCACATGCAGTTCCATCCCCTCATTGGGGTGCGGTGAACGGAGGTGACCTCTATCAAAGTACCTAGCAAGCAGCTGATACATAATGGCCCCGGGGGACACCCGGAAAGAAGAGAGGTAAGAGACGTGAGGGTGAAGAACATCAATGGTTTTCAGGGACTGCCATCAGCTCCAGCCTCAAGGGTATGAATAAACTGTAGGGGGAGGTACATTAGGCCGTCTGTCAATCAAACATCGAGCACGTGTTCGGCTTGCCACGTGCAAGTTTACAGAGATGACTGGGCCAGGACAGCCTGCAAGTGCCTTCCGAACCATCACAGGACGTCTCACCGTCATCTGCATCACGTTAACACAGAGTCGCTCTACTCTGCGTCACTGCCATGCCCGTCTGTGGAACATGGGGAGCCCAGATGGGTAACATCTTGGAAATTCAGTCTAAACATTCACAGCCACACTATTCACACGGCCAAGCCAAGGAAGCAACGATGTCCACTGACTGAAGAGTGGGCAACAAACGCGGCCTCTCCGCACAATGGAAGGTCACTCGGCAAAAGACACGCCGTCCTGGCATGTGCTACGTGTGGATGAGCCGTGAGAACAGCGTGCAAGGAGCCAGTCACGGAGGACCACATGTTGTGTGACTCCATTGCTCTAAAATGACAGGACGGGCAGATGCTTCCAGACAGGAAGTAGACAGTGGTGGCCAGGGGCTGGGGGTGTTGGAAATTGGGGTGAAAGGTAAGACGACAGGATTTTTTTTTGAGTAATACTGTGCATAAATGGATTGTGATGATGGTTGCACAACTCTTCAAACACTGAAAACCATTGTATTCCTTCATTAAAAGAGGTCACTGTCACACAGATGGACGGTGGGGGGCTCCCTGAGTTCCCAGCAGCTCCTGGCACACAGACAACTCCGGGCCTCTGGGCACTGCATTCTAGAATCTTCTAGTCTGTGGCAAGAGTTCTTCCCAGAATAGCTCCGGGAAGGCCCAGCAAGAGGGAGGCAGCCGGGCTCCCTGCCACCCGCCCTTCCTAGCCCCCCGCCCCCACCTGGGCGGGAGCGGCCCTCTGGCAGTACAGGGCCCGGAACGTACGGTTCATGCCAATGTCGTGGTACGTGAGGATGACGGGCCGGCTTCCCTTGGGGGTCCCGCACAGCGTGACGTGGATGGAGCCATGCAGAGTCTCGATGTCCTGCTCCTGGGGAAAGATAGCAGGCGGAGGGGTTGTCACACGAGGCGTGCAGGTCGGCGTGGCTTAAACCTGATGGGACACCAGCGTCCCGGCCTAGAACACGGCTTCTGAGGATGCGCCCAGGGCCTTGCCCTTGGTCAGGAGAGCACTGGGCTTCAGGCGGCAAAGCAAGGTCCAGAGAGCCCTGCCCAAGGGTCAGGGAGAGAGGGGGAGGGGCAGTAGCCAATGGAGAGCAAGAGGTTTAACCCGAGAGAGGCCGCAGGGCTGGGCTGAGGGGACCAGGTAGGCTCCCATCCTGTGGAAGCCATGGCTGTCCATCTGAGGGACATGGGGAAAGGAAGGAAGGAAGGAAGGAAGGAAAGGAAAGGAAGGGAGGGAGGGAAGGAGGGAGGGAGGAGGGAGGGAGGGAGGCAACCCCAATTCCCAGGCTCCGCCCCACCCCCTTCCAGAGCAGGAAGGGAGATCATCTCTGTTTTTACAAGAACCCACTTTCTTCAAGTCCCAGGCAGAGTGACGGGCTCCCTGGCCCGCCCTGTGAGGCCCCAAGGCAAGCAGGCCTGACGCTGGTAAAGGGGGCACCTCTCCCCGGGCCCTTGCCTGTGGGAAGTGGGCCATAGGGAGCCTCGCAGTGTGGCAGGGGAAGCGTGCGTGCTTATGACCTGATGTTGATGGGGGTAAACAGGGCACAGCATGGGGAACCCCAGCTCCCCAGCCCAGGGGTGCTCCTGGGCCACTGAGCTCGGAGCCTGCCAGATGCCCTGACCCGCCCTGACCGCCTCGCATCTCCTCCGTGTCCAGCCCTGCACTCCTGCTGTGGAAACACTGGAAAAACCCAGACCCTGGAGCAAAGGCCCAGCCCCAGTGGGGGCCGGGGATCATCTGCCCGCCCAGCCCAGCCCTGAAGCTGCTGCAGGAACAATGGTCCATTGTGGGGGCCACACTCTCCATTGTCTCCCCAGCTGACCCAGGCGCCCTCTAACAATAGGCCTGGCCAGGCAGGCCCCCACCAGCCTGGGACACCAGGGTTCAAACCCAATGCCACCTTCCCCCAGCCCTGAGCCTGGGTCAGCACCTGTAACAGGACAGTGAGCCACGCCCCCTCCTACCCCCCAGGTTCCTGAGCGGAGGAGGTGAGCTTGGGGCCTGGCGGGAAGGGCATTCTCAGTACGTGGTGGCCTGGGCACCATCTTGGTGGCAGGTACGGGACGCCCAGCCCAGGCTGGCATCAAGGATGCCTGTCCCTGGCAGCCCCCAGGGGTGGGGGTGAGTAACAGATGTTGACTCATCACTTGGGAGGCCTTGAACTTATACAGCTGTGGAGCCCGAAGCGACTCTCCGAGAGGCTGGGCTGCCTCGGCCTGCTCAGTTACACACACACCCCCTCCCCCCACACCCCCACCCCCCCTCGGGCCTGGCAAAGCCTCCTGCTCACAGCAGGTGCTCAGGATCCATTCGGTATTGACTGTCCCCAGGAGACGGAAGTCCAGAGAGGGTAAGCAACTTTCCCCAGGCCACACAGCTGGATGGTGCAGCAGGGGCTGAACCTGAGACCGCCCAAGTCCAGAGCCTGTGCCTTTAAAAAGTATGTATTTTTATTGATTTCAGAGAGGAAGGGAGAGGGAGAGAGAGATAGAAACATCATTGGTTTCTATCCCCACACACAGGGGATCGAGCCCTCAACCCGAGCATGTGCCCTGACCGAGAATTGAACCATGACCTCCTGGTTCATAGGTCAACGCTCAATCGCTGAGCCACACTGGCTGGGCAAAGCCTGGGCCTTTGACATCTGTTTCGCACACTGTGCCGGGTGCCCGGGAAGACAGGGGACCTTTAATGAGTCCCGTGCACTGTGACTCCCTAGAGAGGGACGCACTGAGGCAGGTCCCCCCGATGGGGCTGTGGATGGCTCTGTGTCTCCCCAGCGTCCCCGTGAAGCTGCTAGCCCCGGGCACGCCCTGGGGTACACGGGCACACAGGGTAGAGGCCTAGCCTCCGCTGCTCCCCAAACCTGCCTCTGGCCCACGCTGCGGAACGTGCCACAGGTGTGCCGGACAAGGACACAGGACACCGCGGAGCAGGGCAGAGGCGGCACAGCTGGTTTCACCTTGGCCCAGATGAGCGCCACCCCCATCGGCCACGGGGTTCGTTCTAAGTCCCAGCGACTTCCTAGGAAGCGGGGCTGGGGGAGAGGGCGCGGAGGGGGGGCCGGGAAAGGGTGGGTTGAGGATGCCCAGGCCTCTGACTCCTGCCCCGCTTCAGCCAGGGGGGCGGGAAAACAAGCAGCGACTGTGTGGAAAGCGAGGAATTAGGAAAAGGTCACCGTTGCCCTTTTCCCCGGGAGCGGATCTGCTTCCAAGTGAAGGGAAGGACATCAGCCTCCCCACCCCACCCGGCCCCCAAAGGGATCAGGTGGCCCCCTGGCCCAGTTCCGCCAGGCAGGGCTATCCAGAGAGGCGCCAGACCTCCGCGGACACTGCCCACCGCCCTCCTGCCCCAGCCCCTCCGCTCGCTCCCTCCACCGCAGGAACTCCGCTCCCTGCCAGCAGGGCCCTGGTGAGATGCAAACAGATTCCATGGAAACCAAATCAAATCAGACCATCAGAACACGGAGAGATCCAGGTGGAAGGAATTAGAAGCAGCCACTGCACCGGGAGAGTGACGGATGCTGTTCTCCGCGCTGCTGCCCCGCCCCCCATTGGTTACATGGACTTTGGCTCCGGCCGCTGAGACCGGGTCCGATTGCATCATCTGTCTCCTCGTTGAGTGACACTGAGCAAATCCCTTAAGCCCTCTCTGGGCCTGGCTCTTCAGCTATAACATGAAGACAGCAGTAATTCCTCCCGTGAAGGGCGGTTACAGATTACAGGAGACGATGCAGGAAGAGAGGTCAGGCCGGTTTCTGGGGCACAGACACCAGCTAAAGGGCTCCCGTGTTTATTGCAGATTTAGGAGTCAGAGGAGCCGAAATGGAGGACTAGCTCGACAGATCCTCTTGGCAAGTTTCTCCAAACGGGTCTGGCACCTCCCGCTTGGCAGGCAAGGCCTGAGGGATGAGTGGGATGCAAATATTCCCTCGCTCCCTCCCTCCCTTGGGGGCCTTCCACAAAGCCCTCCACCTGGAGCAGAGGGGGAGGGCTGAGTCACACAGCACCTGCCAGCTCGGGGACGCTTGGATTCTAGAATTCCAACCGAAGAAAAAAAGCCGGAACCCAAATACTCCCACCGACTCCCCTCATCAAATTGGCAAACACAACTGCCCAGAACCTGACGCCAGATGGTCTCGGCAAAACCAGATCACAGGCGTCCTTCCTGCGGCCACGGCACCCCTGGCCAGCAGCCCACCCAGGCCCGCGCTCCCAGGGCTCCGGAGCCTCTCCCAGGGGCCAAGGCAGGGTCCTGGGAGCAACCGGCAGAACTCACAGGTCCGGGCACCAATCGATTCGCCTTAAACCGTCACCCAGGCCAAAACAAACAGCCCACCCCACCGTGATGTCAGCCGGGAGCGATAAGGCGAGAGGCCATCTGCTCCGGCGGTTGTGCCGTCTCCTGAGACGGGCCACCCAGCCACTGGGCGCAGACCCGCCCGCAGCGCCCCGCTGCCGCTGGGCTGTGGGCTACCATATGTTGTCTGTTCTGAGTCATGTGTCCGTCCATCCTCGACTACTCTGGGGAAGGAAGAACGAGTCCGCCTGCGTCGGCACCAAATATTTTTCAAGAAGTAACGTTGGCTGCTTTCAGACACACCCAGTGAGGCCACTCTGACTCCTTAAACTCGACTCCCAAGGCACGGGCCAGACGGGGCCGTCTCCATGGGCCGTGAGAAGCTACTGAAGGAACAGATGTAAGCAGGTCCCCATGAAGGTGTCTGGACTCCAGTCCATCCGAGTTCCGTGCAGGGGGCCTGCCTGGGCAGGGGGGCTTTGATAGGAAGAGCAGAGGTGAGCTGAGGTCTGGCCCTCAGGCCCAGCTGGGCCCTCCCGTGTCGCACTGCAGTGACGCATCGTGGGTGAGAGAACAGGGTGGGTCAGGCAGAGCAGGGTGCCACGAACCCTTCACTGAGGCCATGCGTGAGCCTCAGTTTCCCCATCAGTAAAGGAGGGATGATGGTACAAGTCCCGAATGACTCAGCAGGAGAGCCGGGGAAAGCCTGGCCTGACGCATCAGAGGACGCCGACGTCCTAGCGGGCAGGCCACTGTCATTTTGTCCCTGGGCTGGCGGCCCTCGCTGCCTCCCTTGACCAGGGCTCTGCCCTTCTCTGCCCCCAGCGCTGTGAGCACACCAGTCGTCACATGGTGCAGCATCTTCCGAGGGAAACCCTACGTGACCCACAGGCGAGATGTTGGAAACTCCTGGAAATCCGGGGGAACTTCCACAAATATCATGAGTCAGCCCGATCTGGGAGCCAAACCCGAAGCAACACTGTTTTATACAAAGATGGGACTGGCGTTGACAAGGCGTCCCTCAGCAGCCACGTTCAGCTCAAAGCTGTGACTCCTCGGGAAGGCTGCGCCCATGAACAGCTGCAGGGAGAGCTCACTCCCCACCCGCCCCCCAGGCTGGCTCCAAACCCAGCGAGGGCCTTTCCATGCTGTAGCCTCTGCATGGACCGACCATCCCTAATCTTCTTGGGTCACCTGCCTGGCTCCATCTGTCATTCAGGTCTCAGTTCAATGTCACCTCCTCCAGAAGCCTTTCCCGACCCTCAACCTAAGGCCACCAGCACCACATCAGCCCCTCTGTCACCTTCCATGCCCTACGGGAGCTGGAATTGTCTTGTTCACTTAATTTTTCATGTGTGTGTCTGCCTCCCCCTCCTAGGGAGTCAGAGGAGTGATTTCAGCCAAGCACACAGCTTGTTCACACCCCAGCCCTACCCCTTCCCAACCCTGAGACCTCAGGCCAGTGACTTGACCTCTCTGTGCCTCAGGTTCTCACCTGTAAAATGGGGATAAGATTCATTTCAAGCAAAAGGTGTCACACACTCAGAATGAAGCTTGGAGTACGTTCCATGCTCACTAACGCTGAGCTCTCAGTCTAGAAAGTAGGTTAAAGCAGACATTTATTAAAGGGACAAAAATGTCCCCAACTTCACAGGACGGTGCTGGGATTAACTGAGAGGGCTCAGCCCAGGCTGGTACCCAATGTGGGCAGACCTCATCCTGACTCTTCCCTGCCCCGGGAGGCCAACCTGAAGGCTGGTCTCTGCTTACCAGCTACCTGTGCCCGAGGACAGGAACTCAGAGCTGGGCTTTGCAAACCGTCAAGAACAACACAAAAGTGAGGAACGATCTTCCCAGGGAACAGAAAAACGAAGTGTTCCAGTTTCCAAATCAATAACCAAGATGGCAAGAATCGACACTAACCCCATGACCCAGCAATTCCACTTCCCGGCGTGTACCCAAGGGAATTAGAAGCAGGGACTCATCGAGGTACTTGTCCACCCATTAGCCACAGCAGCCAGAAGGTGGAAGCAGCCCGAGTGCCCACTGACAGAGGAGCGGATGACCCCTTGTGGCCCATCCACACGGTGAAGTGTCGCCCAGCCTCTGAGGAAAGGAAGCTCTGACCCGTACTGCGGTCCGATGGGCCCTGAAGGCACTGCGTTAAGTGAAAGGAGCCAACCACAAAGTGATAAATGGCGTGGGATTCCACTTACGTGAGACACTTAAAGTCTCAACATCATAGCGACAGACAGCAGCATGGCGGTTGCCAGGGACTGCAGGGAAAGACACTTGGACTTAGTGTCTAATGGGGACTTAGCTTCAGGTTTCACAAGATGAAGGGTCTGGAGCTGGGTGGTGGTGACAGCTGCCCCAAATGTGAGCATATTGAATGCCACCCACTGAAGTCTACACTGAACGATGGTTCAGACGGTACACTTTATATGTACTTAACTGCACACACACACACACACATACACAAAGGAAAAAGACAGTCACAGAGTTAGTAGACAGGGGGTGTTACTGACCCAGCACTGATGTGGGAAACATCATATCTGGGTCCCCGCTGTCACTGTCCTGTCTCCACCGCCACGTAAACAAGATTGGAGTGACTCGCCCCATTTCACAGGTGAGGAAACTGAGGCCAAGGGGAGGTGAAGCAACTTGCTCTGCATCAAAGAGCCAAGAAAGGGCAGACCCATACTTGCCTGAACGTCAAACTCAGGTAGACACTTGTACACCCATTATTCACAGCAGCCAACGTTCCCAAACCCTCTGCCACTCGTTCCCCTTCACCCAAGGGCAATGCCCAGACGCCCCGCCTCTGGACACGGGGGGTGGGCCAGTCACTGAAATATGGGATCCAGGAGGAAGAGGGGAGTTGTCTGGGGGAAAGGGAGCAGAATGGATGGTGGAGACGCAGCGCTCAGAGGGGCTGGAGGCGGGAGACTGAGTGATGTGCATCCACCTGCATCTGCTCCTGACCTCCCTCTTCTCCAGGAAGCCCACAGGGCCCCGCTGTGCCCAGGCTTCCTGTCCCATCCCCAGGGCCCAGCACGGCCTGGGGCCCCCAAACTCTGGGATCACTAATGAGTCTAGGAATTACAGGTCCTGAGGTTCTGAGCCGCCCCTCAGCCAAGAGAGCCAGCCCACTGTCCTGAACGTTTGTTCTTAGACAACACTCAAGAGGCAGCCGTTCCCACCGCCTGAGGCCCGCCCTGAGCAGCGATGGAGCCAGTGAGCCACGAAGAAGCCAGGTTCGTTTTCCCAGGCAGAGCTGAGAACATCGAGCCTGCTTCTGCTCCCTCCCATCACAGGGTCCCAAACCCACCCACTGCTCCCCATCCCCCCGCCCCCCACAGCTCTGCCCAGATCGACAGTGTCCAGGGGGGCGTGGGGAGTTGTTGCCACAGGCTTCCCTGGCCAGAACTCCAACCAGCTGCTCTGCAGGGAGGAGCCAAGTGTGAGAAACTAGCTCCCCCTCTCCCCTCGCCCCCAGTGTCTGAACCATGATCTACTTCGCACCATTGGGAGGAGGAGGGAGAGAGAACACAGAGTGGGAAGGGGAGGGCGTCCACAGCCTCTACTTGCCTGAACATCAAACTCCTGCAGGAGGCCGGTGATGGTCTGTGGAGAGAAGAGAGAGATGGTCAGTTTCATCAAGGTTCCTTGCTTCTCCAAGCCCTGAGCCTGGATCTACCCTCCCTCCTCTGCGGAGCCTCCCTAATTCCTCACAAAGGGTGACTTTTCATCTCAAAGAACAGTCCGGCAGGAAAGGAGACGCATTAGCTGGGTTCCTTTTTAACTACTGCCTCGGTGTGAAAAAGATCTGAAGGTCTCAGCTGACCACAAGCTTGTGGGAGACAAGACTGTAATTACCTATGACCTGGTCTCCTGACCTCCGCCCATGTGCTACACTTTTAAATCTCTCCTCACATTTCTTCCCTGGCTGCCCGTCTTCTGGATTAAAATTCAGTCTCTCGTGAGTGGACACGGAGAACAGAGACCTCTATGCATTTCCCTCAGTCCTACAATTCTGTTTCCAGCCCAAAGCCCATCTTGCACCAGAGCTATCCGGATGTGGAGCATGCACGGTGAACAGCATGGGCCAGCAGACGAAGGCCCACCAGCTGCTTTTGTAAATAAAGTTTTATTGGAACACAGCAAGCCCGTTCACTTCCATGTTGCTATGGCTGCCTTCATGCCGTAATCGTGAAGCTGAGTGGTTGCCACGACGGTATGGCCCGCAGAGCCTACGGTAGTTCCTATGTGGCCCTTCACAGAACACGCTTGCAGACCCTGAATGTACAATCTTAACAAGGGTTTGGCGGCTTCTAAACGCAGCTGCCACCCACGCGGGCGGCTCCCCTCCCGTCAGAGATGAGTGTCTGTGTCTGTAAAACTCAGAAGGGAAAGTCTGTGACGCGACCGAGCTAAACCAGAGCGGCCACACCCAGCGTCACCGAGGAGCCCGATGAGCAGTCATTCACCACGGGCAGCTGGTCTGGCTTGGCTCCAGGCCCCGCCCACAGTGTGACTACGTGACCGAGGACATATTACGCTCCACGAGACTCAACTTCCTCTCTGTCAAACGGGAACAATCCCAGAACCCAGTTCCCATCCTGCTGTTAGCACGAGAGAACCCGAGGGACGCAGTGGCCCAGGCTCGCAGGACCTGGTCTTCGTGCTGATTCCTACTTGGAAAGCACTTGGCTGACCTTAGAACAGGGGTGGGGAACGTCCGGCCCACGGGCCGTGTAAGGCCCTTGAAATCATGGTGTCTGGCCCTGCCAAGGTGTTAGGGGTGAGTTCATGAAATGCTTGACCAAATACAGCAGGCTAGTTTTTAAGTTGATAATTTTGTATGGCCTGCGAATGATGTGATAAATATCCAAGTGGCCTTTGGCAAAAAAAATGGTTCCCACCCGCCTTAGGGTAACTTCACTTTTGAGCCTGAACTTTACATTTTTGAAAAGAGGCATCATCACAGGCAGTGTTGCCTCTCAGTGAGAGCTGGGAAGGGAACATGGTTTAAAATACGACGTCACTTCCACAGCAAATGTGAAGGCTCGTCGCATTTCCATAATGTAAAGCCAACGTCAGAAAGGCCAGGCCAGGAGGGACCTGCCTGCTGGGCCGCAGGGCAGGGCCGGCTCTTTCCCAGGGAGGCCTGGCTGACATGAAAGGCTTGGCCGACAAGATGATAAGAGCTGTGGCAGCAGGAGCTCAGGCGCACAGCTTATCTCCTCGGCGCCAGGCGGCAGCAGCCCACTCCGTCCTCACTGTGGCCCCAGGACATGAGTCCCAGTGTCACTGGTGTAAAGCTAGGGAACTGGAGCATGAAGGTTGGCGCATTTGCCAGCGGTGGACACAGAGCTGCCGAGTGTCACGGCCAGGATCTGAAGCCAGGCAGGCGGGCCCCAGGGGATGTGTGTGACCTTCACCTCGAAACGAGGGGGTAGACAGAGCCTGTGGGCAGTGGGCTTCCGGTCGCATGTTCCAGAACCACAGATGTCAGAGGTGGGGGGCGCCTAGAGGAGCTCTAGTTCAATGCCCTCCTTTGCATATGGGATCAGGGAGGTGTGGGCAGAGAAGCCCAGATTGTGGGCAGGGGCCCGGCCCACAGTGCCAGAGCACGTAGTGGCCACGCTGGGCCTGGAACAGGTACCTTTGTGCCTCTGCACACCTGGACAAGGAGACCCGTGGAAACAAGGAAGTAGTGGACACATGTGTGTGTATGTGTTCATGTTGTGCACACACGTGTGTCCTTGTATGACTGTGCATGTGATGGGGGGACCAGGAGCATCTCCACTCACCTCCCCTTTCTCCACCAAAGGCTTCACCTCGGCCAGGTCCACGTCCTGCAGCTCCCGAGACATGTCCCTGCTGTCACCTGCCTGGGAGGGGACAAAGGCCAGGAGGTTAGCACTTCCTGCTGAGAGATGGTTCCTGAAGGAAGCAGATCCGAGGCTCGAAAACAAGCCCTCACTCTACCCCGCAGCTTCTACCTTCTGCACCTGTCACCAGGCCCCTCCTACAGGTCATCAGACCCCTCCTACAGGTCACCAGGCCCCTCCTACAGGCAATAAGGCCTCTCCTACAGGTCACCAGGCCCCTCCTACAGGTCACCAGGCCCCTCCTACAGGCCACAAGGGCCCTCATACCCACATCACCATCCCAGCCTTGCCCCTGAGACAGGAACTGAGGCTCATGGACGCAACCACGTTGCTAATGAAACAGACAGATTGATTCTCAGAACCAGTCCAGACCCCCCACCACCCAGGACATTTCTCGCTGCATTTTAGGAGAACTGTATCCCCAGGTTGACAGGCAAAAGGGGACAGGAGGTCACGGGAGGCCCGCCATGTGCAGGCATGGCACACACTTCCTCCTCCTTCACCCTCCGAGTGTCCCCAGCAGGGGCAGCCTCCAGCCCGGGGCCTGCCAGGCTGGAGGTGGGATTTTCAAACAAAAGGAGCCAAAGCAGCTGGGGTTGGGGGCAGAGGAGGCCCGCTGGCTGTGGCGCGGCAGGAGCAGAGGACAGAGGCGAGGAACAGGGTCCCAGAGGGCGGATCTGCCGTCACCCACTCCCCAGGAGCCGGGCTTGGGCGGGGCGTGTACTGAGCACACGCCCGGGAGCTTGGTCTGGGAGCTGGAGATATAAATATTTATTCTCAGATAAAGGCAAGTGAAGCCCCCACCAACACTGGGGCGAGGCACACAGTCCCAGAGTGAGGGTGAGCGCCACAGCCGGCGGCAGGGACAGGGAGGAAGCCGCAGGCGTCCAGGTCCCCGCTCACAGACCCGGCCCCCTGCATCCTGGACAGACCAGGCAACCTGCTGAAGACCAGGCCAGCGAGGCCCTCCATTGTCATGCTCCGGAGCAGAAACCCAGGCCCCCAGCTCCCCAGGGCCCCACGGACGCCACGCCGGAGAGAGCGCAGCCTCTGAAATCCCACCAGGTGGGCTGGTCCAAGGCCCGGCTCCCGGAATCCCCAGGACCCTCCTGGCGAGGCCTCTCAGAGGTCAGCCGGCAGCACAGCCCGGCCGCCTCCTTCCGCCCCGGCGCTGACACATGGCATTCTGGGGGCAGATCCCCTCCCGTGCGACGCTCTGGTCTGGGCCCCATATAATTCCCCCCAGTCGATAACCAGCCCCACAGGAATGCCTTTATGCAGCCTCTGGAGTCCAGGTTCCAGAACATTCTGAAAACAAAGTCGGTTTTATATTTGCCAGCATTCCTGGGCAGCAGCCAGCCCGGAGGCCGAAGGCATGAAAAGCCGAGGTCGGACAGCCTTGCTAACTCAGCGTGTTCATGGTCCCGAGACTCTGGCCCCACGGCCACATCGCCTACACAGCCTAGAGAGCCTTCCAGAAGCCCAGGCAGTGCCACCCCCCTGCAGAGAGTGACAGGACCCAGGGTGAGAGTGGGGTCTGCCACTGTGCCCTGGCCGGGCTCAGACAGCCCCCCTCCCAACCCCCAGGTCTTCTTCAGCCCCCCGCCCCCACAACTCCCAGGCCTTCTTCAGCCCCCACCCCCACCCTCGTGGGCTCCGAGGAGGGGAAGCCTAATTGTATGACCACCTGGCCCACCTGTGGCTCCTGCCATTACACCAGGGGCAAAGTGGGGCCACCACTCGCTTGCTGAATAGATGAATAGGGTTTATGCAGCTTAATAGCAAGGCCTGTGTTTAAATTTACTCTTTTTTAAAATATATATTTTGGTTGATTTCAGAGAGGAAGGGAGAGGGAGAGAGAGAGAAACATCAATAATGAAAGAGAATCTTTGATCAGCTGCCTCCTGCATGCCGCCTACTGGGGATAGAGCCACAACCCAGGCATGTACCCCTGACAGGAATCAAACCCAGGACCCTTCAGTCCGCAGGCTGATGCTCTAGCCACTGAGCAAAACCACCTAGGGCTAAACTCAGAGGCTGAAAACTGGCCAGTCTCCCTTAAATATTTGAGAATTGCTGAGTATGGAGCCGGAGGGGGCTCAGGGAGCCCAGCCTTGAGCTGGAGATATTTTAAAAAAATATTTTTTTATTGATTTCAGAGAGGAAGAGAGAGACAGAACATCCATGGTGAGAGAGAATCACTCATCGGCTGCCTCCTGCACACTCCACACTGGGGATCGAGCCCACAACCCAGGCACATACCCTGACCGACCAGGAATCGAACCGTGACCTCCTGGTTCATAGGTCACCGCTCACCACTGAGCCATGCCGGCCGGGCTGGAGACACTTGTGTCATGACTGGGAGATGCTACTGGCGTCCAGTGGGTGGAGACCACGATGCTGATGGTCAGCTAATCATCCAACGGGGCACAGCACAGTCCCCGAGCAGAGTCCTCTGGCCCCTACAGCTGAGGCTGACACCCTGGTTACACCGGGAAGCGCCCCAGGACCCCGAGCCTGCAGGGACACAAAGCACAGCAGAGGCAGCCTCTGCACTCTTTGTCCCTGGGGGTGGGGGCGCTGCAGGCCTGGGACGGCCTGCCTTTAATGAGTGCAAATGCCCGGCAGGGAGGGCGGAGCCTGGCCCTCCATCTAGGTCACTGCCCGAATGCCCAAGGCTGCCCACTCCGGGGCAATGGGCAGGGAGACAGCTGGCTGCCCCATCCTGCCAACCTGGGCCGGTTGAAGGCCAACACCTGCCCTATCTCTGTTGCCTTGAACTCTGCAAACGTGTATTTCTGAGGCTGTTTGTCTAAAGCAAATCTTATAAGGAAGTTCAATATAAAAAAACAGATTTACATACACCCTTCCCCCCAAAAAAGAGGGGGGAGGGAAACAGACATGCTTTGGATGAAGCCAGGGAAAAAAGCTTGACCCCCCCCCCAGCAGCCCCGGGTTCCCCCTCCCTCCCACCTGCCCCTACCCCATGAGGCAAGACCTGGCCTCAAAGACCCCTGGGGTTCAGGAAGCTCAGTTCCAAACGGTGACTCATCCGGACGTGGCTTCCTGGGCCAGGCCCTCATGTGCCCAGCACGGAGTGAAGCACCCGTAACAGCCTTGTGGACGGGGCCCTACCATGTGACAAGGGGGGGCATGGCCACGAACCAGCAGACCCGGTCCTGGCCCGCGGAGCCCCCATCTCATGGGGCAGGTAGGCCCCAGGGTCCCCCAGCACCGCCCACTCATCGGGCCAGTCCTGACGGGCCTGCCCCACGAGGCCGCGCTGTCCTGCAGGCTGGGGCGGAGGTGGCCTCCGTGACCGCCGTATCTCCAGGGCACAGTTCCCCACCCCGACCTGCCCACCCGGGGCCTGGGTGGGTCATCGTTGGTGGTGGAGGCTGGCGCTACACAGCAGGTCAGCAGCCCCCTGGCCTCGCCCCCAGATGCCAATAGCACACACCCACCTTCCCTTCCCCCGGTGAGAACTGAAAACATCTGTGCACTTTGCCAAATGCCCTCTGGGGGCAAAACCGCCCTGGTTAGGAACCACTGGCCTAGGGCGGTTCCTGTATGAATGCAGAGTATCTGGTAGATCTGACTCTTATTCTATCTCCTGTGCCCACACACCCACTCACACACTCACACACTCACTCTCACACACTCACACTCACACACACTCTCACTCACACTCTCACACACACTCACTCTCACACTCTCACACTCACATTCTCACACACACTCACATTCTCACACACACACTCACTCTCACACTGACACACTCATTCTCACACACACTCTCACACACTCACATTCTCACACACACACACACTCACACACTCTCACACTCACACTCTCACACTCACACTCTCACACTCACACACACACTCACATTCTCACACATACACACTCACATTCTCACACACACACACACTCTCACACTCACACTCACACACACACTCACATTCTCACACTCACACTCACACACACACTCACACTCTCACACACTCATTCTCACACTCACACGCACTCACACTCTCACTCACACTCTCACATACTCACACACTGGCCAGCTGTAGGTTTCTGAGGACGAGGCTGAAGTCCCAGGGGTTGGAGGCACATCCTGAGATGGGTCAGCACAGATGGGTGGCCGGGACAAGAGGCCGCTATGCTGTGTCACACTCCTACTGCTTCATCTCACTCTCCCTCCAGAAGTTTCGCTGTGGGTTCAAATGCACAACCCCAAGACCAGGAGGCCCACAGGAAGGAGCAGGTCCCGCGTGGACACTGCCTTGTAGGCAACGCTGACCTTCGCTGGGAGGGAGGGGCGGTGGGGGGTTACCTGGTTGGGGCTGCTCTACTGATGCCCCCCCACCCACACCAGGGGTCACCCCCCACCGCTCAAGGCCCTGCTTGGCTCAGCAGGTTCTCCCCTGGGCTTGAGGCCGAGCGCTGGATGCCAGTGCCCGCCCCCCTCTGCCGCCTCCTGGAAAGTCCCAGCCCAGAATGTCGGGCTGAAAAGGGCCAAGGTCATCATTCAACAGACCGAGTGCAGGGCAAGGCCACCTGCGGCGCCGTGGGTAGGAGCCCAGATGTCCCTCCTGGGCCTCCCGCTCCATCGGGCAGGAGGGTGGATGGTGCGGTCCCTCCAGGAAGCGCAGGCGGGAGGCCCTCCAGACAGGGAGTTAGTCGGACCGGGCTCCTTCCGCTAAAACCCACTCGGTGCCAAGACCGGGGCCCACGTCACCCGCCAGCTGCCAGACGGGTTCCTATCACCACGTCTTCCTTTCGCTCTGCCCTCCCAGAAGGAATTCAGAGAAAACCAACGTCAGATAAGCGGCAGGTGGCCAGGAGCTAGGGGAAGACTGGAGGGTCAGACCTGGCCGTCATCATGTATCAGATCTGTGATTCCCAACAAGTTATCTAACCTCTTAGCCTCGGTTTGCTCACCTGTAAAATGGGCATAAATAATCCTGCTCCCGGTGAGTACCAGTGGGGCTTAA